CAGCAGCTCAGAGGAACTCTCTGAATTTATCTGGACAGAAATAACTGCTGGTTTTTCATTTTGGTTTGTGTTTTTTTTTTTTTTTTTTCCCCCCCCACTTGTCTACCCACAGGAGCATGTGAGCATGCAGTATGTATGGTAAAGTTTCTTTCACACATAAAAGGTGTTAAATAGCTTAAGTAAACAAGCAGAGTTTTTGAATTTGATTTCATTAATGAAAGATAGTTTTGTTAGTGCTGAAAAGGCAGATATTGTGATACGTGCTTCGCCATCTGTATTTTCATTTTTTTTGACATGTTTTGCTATATACTTAACAAATTCCTCCATTAAGAAATATCTGCAATGCTGTGGTTACAGTTTTCATTACTTCGTTATAGATGCTTCCCACTTTAGTCAAGTGTAGTTCTAACGTTGCATAATTGCACAGAAGGGTGAAGACTTACAACTAATGTCTACAATTGACTTGCTTTCATAAAGTAGCAATTTTTGCAGAATTCATCTGCAAAACGGAAGAGTTATCATAGCCACGGTTGTTTTTATGTGAGATAGACTTAATGCCATTTTCTAAGTAATAACTTTGGATGCCTCCTGTTACTAGCATTGTTACTTTTTTTTCTTTAAGGCAGCAACTCACCCTGTAAAAAAAGTGGCGTTAGGGAAAATTTTAAAGCTATGTGTATGGAAAGGTATTCTTTCATCTCTCCATAAAAAGGTAGGGGCTTCTTGTTAGAGGCCTGCCTTTGTTGTTGCTTGTGACTTGATTCTCATGTTTAAGCTGTATAAAACAGCCCTTCTCAGTGCAGGACAGCTTTAAGTTGTTACAGCTGGAGCAGTTAGCTTGCTTGTTAAATAGAAAAGCAATAATCTAAATGCTCAGTACTGGAATTTTTAGTTTTCCAACATAATAGTAGGCTTATAGACGATGTGTGCAAGGTGCTTTGTTGTAATTTTGTGTCAAGTTCAGTTTTTGTTATGGGGAAGAACTGGGCTTGCTTTATAAGCATCTGCATAAGAGGAACTGGAGTTGGGAGGATGTGATAAATGTGAAAGCCTTTGGTATCAAAGTAGAATTAGAGGATTAGAACAAACTTCTCCATCCAACTTCCTGCAGAAGTATTAGACTCTGCAAGCATGGCTTTCTGAATTTGCATTCCCCTTAAATGAGCTGTGTTGAGTATGTTCTGAAAACATGGTAATTCAGTGATAGTCAGTTGTATTTATACATTTTTTTTCACCACTTTGATAATTAGATAACATGTAGTCAGGGTATTTACAACTTCTATATTTAGAATCATTCTGATTTACATTTTGCCTTAGCTTTTGAAATGTATCCACTTTCATTTTGTCAGTGATGTTCAAATGCCAGTAACCCTGAGGTATAAAGGGTGATAGTCTAGCAAAAAAGGGAACTTACCAGGATTTACAGGTCTGCCCAGGTGCAAGAACCTTCTAATACTACATTTACTGGTGGAAAAGTATGAACAAATTGTTCTTCATTGATAAAACCCCTAGAAAATAACTTGGAAGAATAAATGCTGCTAGAGGATACTATGCTCAAGTGAGGTTTTCAGAATTATCAGTCTCAGAGGAACTTCACTGGGTTCACTGTAATTTTACCTGTTTATGTAGTTCTGAAAAGTTTCATCTTTGCTTATTGAAATTACAAATGAAAATCACTTTCTCATTTGTAAGAGATGATGGAAGACTCTGTAATCAGGAGTGATAAGGAAAGGCTGAATGGTGCTCCAAATGCTCCTTGCCTCTTCCAAAAGAAATGAAGAGGCAGTAATGAAACTAGTAGATTTGAAACAAAAAAGGGAGGTTGAGTTTTCTTTAGTTTTATTCCTCTTCTGCACAGAAACACAATGTGAATTTTTTACTGCAAAGTGCTGCGGGTGTTAAAAAGTTTTCTCACATTCAAAGGGAGACAGGACAAGATCACAGAAGAAAATATTTGATTGTTGCTGAACACACGAACACATCTGACCCAGAATGTCCTGAGAAACAGCTAGCAAAGCAGGACAGCACTTGAACAAGAGAAAGTCTTGCATGCCTCTCCTACTGTTATCTTCTTCCCCAGGCATCTAGCATTGGCCACTGTTGGCGGCAGGATTGCAGATTAGCTGAATGTGTGGGGTCTGATCCAGTACAGCCATTCCTGTCTTCTGCCTGAGCTCGTGAGCTGTTTTTCAATCTTTATACTTCTGTATCTGAGGTTACTTTCATCAGAAACAGAAGCTTGTGAGTTGATTTCACTTAAGGATATCTTTCCTACCTGAAGATTTATGGTTTGGTTGGTTTTTTTTACCCCCAGAGTACTTCTCATGAAAAATACAAAGATGTGTTTGACTTGGTATTGGTATTTCTGTAAATGTCAAAGACATACACTGAGTGAAACAGATTGACTTGCATTCTATTCCTGAGAAAGCCAGAAATCAAAATTTCAAGCTGAGTATAAAATGTATGAAATGAGAAATATTTTGCTTTTGAAGTGATGGTATGTTGAGGTAAATCAGAGGTGCTGGTAGAAAGGTTGTTTGTTTTCCTTGTCTTTGAAAGTGCTGGTTAAGTATCTAGTTATCAATGGCTGCCCACCTTGCATTAGATCGAAAAAATGCTTGCAATCAACTAAATTTTCACTGCTTTTATTTTTTTATGGTAAGCATGCAGTATCTGTGCTCTGTCGATGAAGAAACCAGACTACAAAAAATAAATTTGTAGGTTTTGATCCTAAAACTGAAATTCTAATCCCCCTTGCATAAACATGTGAATAAAAATAATGTAGCTTCAGGAAGTACTGGATGCTCACATTCAGATGCTCAGGAGTTCTGACAACATAAGCCTTTTCTGAGATGCTTAAATATGATTTGGGAGCATAACTCCTCATCTAGATTTAAATTTTGGCATAAGCTATTACCAGAGGGGTGGTAGAGTTGGTATCAAAGGCAGGGGCAGATGGAAGGAGTGCAGCCATTCAGTGAAAACATTGCTCCATCCACAGCTCTCCAGGGTAATCCTGTTGCAGAACCAGAAAAGGTGGAGTAGTAGCCTAAGAAAAATAACCTAGCAGTGATATTAAGGGCTTTAGTCTCAAAGTCTTTGGAGGGAGTCTAATATTAAACAGACTCTTTAGAGAGATGCATTAGAGATCTGGCTTTTGAACTTTGAATTTGACAGTGACTTTTTATTTGTCAGTGGCATATGGAAAGTTACAGAATTTCTACTCGTGCTGGGTCTTTTGTGCATTTTTCTGAAGCTGGAAATGGATCAGAAGAGTTAAGGATTCCTAACTGTGATAACTGCCTCTTTTCATATGTTATGCAGACATTTATATCTATGCTATCTTTGAAGCTTAAGTTCATACTATTTGAATTTTCCTTTCAAAAGTTGTGTGGGTAAAGGTTTAAAATTCTGTTAAATTTGAAATTCAGTCACTAGTTTCTAACAGTCTTTGAGTAACTCAGTTTTCCAGTATTAATAGGCAATGTATGGTTGTTTTATAACAATTAAGCAAAAGCTTCACAAAGGAAAATAAACTCAATCAGATAACGTATGTACCCTGACAGCTCAATGTGCATTTTCTCCAACATTAATTTGCACTTCTATATACTGATCTGAAGTCAAAATGCCTCAGTGGTATATCTGTGTTGCAGCTGACTACCCTAAATCTAAAGTGCAGATTCATTTTAACTCACTTTATATTCTTGATTCATTGTTTTTGAGGAGGAAAAACCAATACTTACTTTCAGCTTTTAAATATTTATTTAATTTTACAGTGATGTAAAATTAATTTTGAGGAATATGTACACAGTGTTCTAACAGCTGGGAAACATACAGAGAAGGTTTTAAAGCACTTCTGTTTATATATTCCTGTTTGTAACAGTAATATAAGTAGATTTCTGCTTTTACATGGCTTTGACTTTTCAAAGCGTCTTGATTGTCTTCGCCAGCACATAACCCCAAGTAATTTATTTGTATACTTTATAAAGTTTGCAAGAAAACAGCATTTGAAATCTTAAATGCTCATGTTAAAAATATTTCTAGAACACAAAGATTGAGAGGAAGTTTCATTCTAAAAATCCCTGTGTCTTGACTTTCTGTCTGGGAAACCAAATTGTTTTACCAGTTGTGAAATATTTCAGTTGATGCACATGCTCATTGCTAGTTAGCAAAGGTCACATTTTTCTAAGAAACTAGTACTTTGAGATTGAATTACCTTGTTTGGAGGATGTTATTTTGCTCAAAAGTCATGTTGAGTTGAAGAACTTTTCATGAAAGAGTTTAATAAGTGGTAACTGTACCAAGAACTGTGGTATTGTTATAATTACACAGACATCTGAGACAGAGATGAGAAGAAAAACCAGTTTGTCTGAGTTGTTTCCAGATGCCCTAAACTACCAGAAGACTTAATTGCCTTATGGGGGCCAGGCTTGTGGAGAGAGCATATATTTTGTGAGATAAACCTGGGAGAAACAAAGTTCTTGCAACCTATTGATTGAAGCTTCCTATGAATACAATGGTCTCTAAGAAGGAAGGTGCAGGGAGAAAGGCAGGAATTAAGGTATAAGATACAGAGAGAAGAGTAAACTCCAGAGCAGGCACAGGAGCTGAAGTGGTATAATTAATATACTGCTGTTTTCCTCAGCAGCAGGATCCTGCAGTGCAAACCAGATACTTTCACCCCCATCCTCAGTAACTTGGAAACCAGTATCATTGTTAAAGATAAGCAATTGTTTTTACTTCAGAACCACCTCTCCCCACCCCCCCAAACTACTTTTTCATTTGTGTTTGGCTTGACAGACAGTCCTTGGACTTCGGTTAACCTAATCCAAACCCGAGTTTGTTTCTAACATACAACCAGCCAGAACAGACATCTGACATAAATTCTTAAAATACTTTTTCTGTGTACTCTTATGCTTAACACTTTTACAGTCTTATCATAAATTTTTTCTGATGTGAAGGAAGCATAACATTTACATATGAGGATATATTTCCACAGCTGAAGAAATGTGCAGGCTTGTAATTCCAGTTTAGTCCCGGCAGTCTTTTAATACAGTTTATATTGTGGAGTCACTGTCAAATATTTTCATTTTTATGGTTTGAAGGCTGTGTTGAATGAAATTTTCTGAAACTGGCCTTTCAGAGAATCTGATGTCCCGTGGTCTGGTGGACCTGTTCTTTTTTATCGAATTCTGGATTGTATCTGATGTGAAGTAATAGACTATAGGGTCAAAACAGCAGTTTGAAACAGCGATGCACAGAGTGATGGGGTACATAGTCCTGACTGCAGTTACCACAGAACAATTAATCCAGGTCTGTGTTCTCATAAGGGAGTAAAGTATTAAGGTAATGTTATAAGGCACAAAGCAGAAGCAGAATATCACCAAATGGACAAAAATCATTTTGAGTACCTTTTTCTTGCTTAATTTATTCCGACTTAATGTAAGGGGTTTATTCAAGGTCCGTAAGACCATGGTAGAGCAGGTCACGTTCAAGATGAGGGGAATGAAAAACCCAACGATTTCGATGAAGATAACAATCCGGGATAAGTAGGTTTTCCACGTGTCCTCCGAAAAGTTTTCAAAGCAAGTCCTTTGTTCGGTATTATTCCGGCGATTTGTAGACTGGAAAAAGCTCGCTGGTGTGCTGCCTGCTAACACTGTTATCCATACTGCAGCACAGACAATTTTTGCATTCCTTTTGGTTCGGAGAGTCTTGGATCGAAAGGGGTGTACTATAGCTAAAAAGCGATCTACACTTATGCAAGTCAGAAATAAAATGCTCCCATACATATTTGTATAAAAGAGGGTGACGGAAATCTTGCACAGAATGTCTCCAAACGGCCAGTTTCTCGTTACGAAATAATAAATCCTGAAGGGTAATGTAAACACAAAAAGCAGATCCGATATTGCTAAATTAAGCATGTAAGTTGTAGTTTCATTTCGCACCTTTAATGTACAAGTAAAAATGTAGATAGCAACACAGTTTGCTATGAGGCCGAGAACAAACACCATACTAAAGATACAGCCATATAAAGTATATTTAAAGGAGTCCTCAGTGGAACAATTAGAGCTTACCATTATAATGGTATATTAAAGATTCCTGTGATTTGGAGGTTTCTCTGGTATTTTTATTGCAACTTTTGTAAAATTCCAGGAGAACTTGTAGATATATTTGAGCTGTGTAATTGGCAAGTTTGTTGCACTGTAAAGCTTCAGGAAAGAAACACAAGCTCTGTAGCAGGGGAGTACATCTCCAGCAGTGGTCACCAGGAGGTCACTCTTCCCTTCCAAGTGCTATTTGTAATCACATAGCCGGTCTTCAGAAGTCAAAAAACATATCATTTGTGGCTGCTGAGTTCATCCCAAGGCTTGCTTAGTTCCATTTCCCCCTTGGTTCAATGAAGCTGCTGTAAAACTTTCTGCCTTACTCTTGGCTGCAGATTGTGGTGGTGAACTCTTGTCCATTCAAGCTTGCTGGGCATGTACGCTTTAGAAAATGATTTCCTGGATGCCGGCAAAGCGTCAGCACTTGCATTTCTCCCTCAGCCTTCTTTCTGCAAAACAAGCTTTCCAGCTCCTGGGAGCGCTTGCATGCTTGCTCGCCCTGTGGGGTGGGAAGCAAGCTGCTTGCGAAGGCAGAAATGAAATTCCAGAGCGTGTTTGTTCCTGTAGAGCACGGCTCTTGCTTCCCGACTGCCTCTCGCCAGCCCGGCTCCGTCTGAGGAGGAGAGCAGGGAGCTCAGGCAATTTGTAGCATGACATCACAGGAAGAAGAGGTTGAACTGGCAGGCTGAAGAGTGGTTTCAATTCGGTTTGTTTGCCTTACTCTAATCTGATAATGTGTCTGCTGGGACTGTACCTCGCAGGCGTGCAAATGGTCACCAGCAGAGTGCTGCAGCTGCAGCCTCTGGTTAGTTCTTTCCATACTCCCTGAAGGGTCCTTTGTCAGTGTTGCTGGAGTGTGAAAGCTTCATTGCAAAATCTTTTTCTGCAGTTATAAGGAGACTTTTAAGTGTCTGAATAACTCTCATGCCTTAAAATTCCTGTTTATGTTTGGAGATAGTGATTATTTTGGGCTTTTATATTTGATATGGGATTAAACTAATGTTACATTTTTTGATAGATATCTTGGCTTGTGATAGATAACGCATTAAATCAACAGAAATCAGCCTAATTCCCTCAATGCACCAGTACAAACCTCAGGAAGGACAAAGTAACATTGATAGGTAATTAAATAATTTAACCAAATAATTGGTGAAAGAGAGAAGCATACAGATTATTAACCTGTGGGTTGCTCTTAGATATTCCCAGGACTGAGGTGTGTGGCAGTGGGAGGAGAAATTTTTAACTTGTTCTATATTAGAAAGCTTATCCCAATCTTCATTTCTAATCAGAAAGATGTTTCTTTTTACAGAGAATATGCTTCAATTTTTGTATAAATTTGTGGCACAGAAAGCATTTTCTTCAATTTGTAAGCACAGAATTAATATACCAAAAGAAATATTGCACTATGCAATTGTTTCTGGTAATATAAAGGAGGCCAGTTATTGTGCATCCACAAAATACTCCCATTAGCCAGTGATTAATGAGACGAAAACATGTTGTAACTAATTAAATTAAGTAAATATAAAAAGCTCTTGTTGCTTATAGGGGCAGATAGGAGATAAATCTCAGTTTAGACAGACTCATCCATTTAACAACAGGTTGGATAGACTCACTTCTGGCATCAAAACCAGTCTATTTCTAGTGCTTAGAATAACAAATCTCTTCATATCTGGCTGGGTGGCATGGTTCTTTTGAACTAGATTTTTAATCAGTTGTACCTAAGCAAAGCTCTGGGCAAAACCTTTCTAGTCTGCTGTAGAGGAGAGTATAAATAATAGCACTTCACAGGGATTTGGCATAGTTGGTTGTCTTTTTTTTTTTTTTTTTTTTTTTTCTTTGCTGCCTTTTTTAATGTAAAGTACGTCAGGCAAAATTCAGAAACATGTAAAAATGGCTCTTGCTTATTTTAGTTCAGGTTTTCTTGATAAGTTTCTTCTGTGAAACTCTTTCACCTTGATTTTGAGGTGAAAGCAATGATCTTAAGGTCCGTTCCAACCCTCACTATTCTATGATTCTTTGAATAGGCTATAACCACAAGAAACCTTTTGAACTATTTTTAAAACTCATACTTAACTGTAAAGTGTAGTGCATTTTCCACTTCTAAGCAAGAAACGAAAGTGTGAACTTTGCAGTCTCTTGTGTGTCCAACTCAACTTGTACCGTAGCATAAAGCTGTTTTACCTGGCTTTCCTCACAAAACAGTTGTTGCATGTTACTAAATTTTGTTTCTATTCCCAGCAGCCTTTCATGGTGAAAGGGCACTTTTCCTGTAAGAGTCCAAGACTTCTGCAATGGGCCATGGGACCTCTGAGCTCAGTTTTCCTGCTCTGGCATTGTTTGCACAGGAAAACTGTGTAGGGCAGGATCAGTTACTGGAACGAAAATCCCTGAAGTACAGAAATCTGACATGAAGTGTCAAAACCTCAAGCCATAATTCACGCTAAGAGAGAGAAACTGATGGAAATGAGTTTGTCTCCCATTCACTGGACTTGATTTATTGTTTGGGTGAAGGTGTGTGTGCACAGACACAAGGTGCTCTTTCTTTCTTTAGAGGAAAACAACATCTTCAGTATTAGTAACCTAATAAGTTCTTACAGTGCTTCCAAAGCCAGGAAATGCACTGTCAAATGAAGTTTATCAGATGCACAAAATGCTGTATGTAACTCCATTATTCTATAACTAATGTTACTGGTTTTAGAAACGTCACTGTATCAGGCTACAGAGATTTGTTCTCATTTCAGTTAAAGCAAGCTTATGTAAAAGAACTTGTGCTTATTGTTGCAGTGAAGACAACCCTGGCAGGACAGTATTTTCTTTGTCCTAAGTGTTGTTATTTGTCCAACTGTCTTCATGGGCTATAGCATTTTTCATCTGTTTACTGGAGTTTCTCTTTGAGCATGTGTATGTACAGGAAGGAATTAATTATGCTTCAGACGTAGGGCTGGAAGCCAGGAAGTCTGTTCTGCCTGTGCCACAGATTGCTGCTCCAACCCTGGCAAAGTTTTCTATGATTTTATGCTTTTTAGCTTCCCTCTGTGTAAGAGCTCATTCACTTCTTCACTGCGATGTGAGGCCATCTTAATTGTTAAATATGTTTTGGAGTCCATGGATTATAGAATATAGAACAGTTTGGGTTGGCAGGGACCTTTGGATGCAGAACTCTCTATTAAATATGATCCTGAGATAATTACAGTAGCTAGTGAATAGCAATAAAATGTGGGAAGGTTAAAATTTTGTATTTTTATGTTAAATTCCTGCCAAGCAACAGGATCTCTTGAGAGACTTGATTCAACTCTCTAAGTCTATGGGGAAGGAGGTGCAGAGAAGGCAGGGTTGGGAACTTTGACCTTCTCAGCTACCTTTCAGGAGCTGCCTGCTCAGATGCTCATAAGTCACTGTAAGACTGCTTCTGGTAAGTGGTTTACTGCTGCCTTAAAATGCAATGATGGTGTCCACCTACAGAGACAGTGTGAAGTAGTTAGCGCACTGAAAATTCCCTTTATTTCCCGTTAAAATTTTCCAGTGTAATAGGGAAGTCTTTAAATGAGCATTAAAAGACTTATTTTTATCTAGCCAGGCTAATCCTGTGTAGTCAGTTAAAGACTCCTCCATATCCATATGGTTAGCTTAGTACAAATGGAACTACACATACAAATTACACGTAAAAGAAAACTCTAAGTATTTTCTGCTGAAAGCTTGACTGGCCTTCTAGAACCAGTTTTCCTGATTAGTTTTTGTTTTACTAGCCATGTTCTAATACATAACTGCCAAAAATCTTTCAAATATTAAAAACTTGAAAAAGGGCAGGAGAAGCTAAAGTATTTGGGCTATGAGTCTGTCAGGTTCTCTCAGTTAAAATAATTTCTTTATGTGTGTAGTTGCTTAAAAAGAGAAAAGGAAGTTCAGAATAAAACAAAAATTCTCCATTCCTGTGCATTTGGAATCCTTCTCTCTCTTCTTTGGAGTTGTTTCCATTTCCATTATAGGAAGCACGGCTGCTCCTCTCCTGCTTGCAGAAAGAGGAAACTATTTTTCTCCTTTTGTATAAATCCAGGCTCCTAGAATTTCTTCGTTGTTTCCCTTCCCCCCCCCCCATTGTTGGAGACGAGGGCTTTTTAATCCTAAATACATGAATAGTGAAGGTATTTTGTTGTTGCAGTCTCTCTAAATGACTTGAGAACAGTGGATTACTTTGGGTCTTTGCTCTTAAAAATAGGTGCAATCAATACAACAATCACACTTTAGGAAATGCCACTTTTAGTCAAATTCTAGTTCTGAAACACTTCACAGGATTTGTTGTATGTCTGTGTGTGGGTAAGTAGTTTCTTTTAACCACTTCAGTTAGTTACATGAAGTCCCTTCCTTGCTGTCCTTTATGTACCTGTTTTTATAATGAGGACTACAGAAAACATGTTTTACTTAAGGAATACTGTGTAAATGCTGATAGAGGCAGAAAGGAAAATCAGTATGTGTTGATTAATAATTTTTAAGCAACTAAGAGGCAAATAAGTATATTCTGTTGCTTTCCTAGCTGGAACCTCTCCTTTGAAGTGGAATTTCAGGTTTAAAGTGCTGCTGTTGGGACTGTGTTCAGTCATTGCACTATCTCTTAGCGTGATATAATCCTTTAGAATACTTACAAGACTACTTGAGGCTTTCTAAATACTCTAATTTATGGGTGAACTTCTTAAGAGAATGAGAAAATAGGAGAATCTTTAAAAATACTGATGATTTAACATTCTTTTTCTTGTTTCATTTTGATTTTGTGTAGAAGTTTTTCTGAAGCAGTCTTTTGGAGCAGCTTTCCATGCCCAGTGATCTAGAACTTTTCTCTGTGTCCTGGCAATTGTCATAAAAGTTCTGAAGATATTTTTAGAATATTTAGTTTCAGAAAATATTATATGTACCCTCTGCTTTCATTTTGGAGCTTGTTCTTGGCATTATTTGATTTGTTGTCCACCATAATTGAGAGA